ACCTGCACAAACGAGGTGTTGTTAAGCAAAGTTATCATTTCTATTATTCTGAGAGAAGAGTGAGACTTTCTACCACAATGACTCTGTTAGTAGCAATGGCACATGGGGGCCAGCAGAGGGTGTTAACATAGTTAAGATTCTTACAGAGGCCAGCATGTCACAAGTCTAACAGAAACACAATACAAAGCCAAGACATGTTCACACACGGTCCACGGATTCCCTGTGTGCCTCTTAACTTCACCTTTAGCCTTGATGGCCTTGTCCAAGATCGCTGCATCGCCATTGGGGCTGAAATTGGCCGCCGCAGTCACCGTCCCCTCGTTCTTCTGGAGCTACAGAGACAGAACAGAGATTAGTATGTGTTTGGTAGATACTTCTGCTTACAGTGGTGTGCATGAGGCCGGGTGCAAAAGGTGCATTTTTCAGATGCCTGAGAAGCAAAAGTGCTCTTTAGTAAAATAAACCACAGCTTATAATACATACAAAGACATAAAAGAAGATAACTGTGACAGATTTTAAGCCTTAATGCCTCCAAAGACCATGACGTTGCCTTTTAAAGTGCCTGTACACGCCCCTGTTGGACCGAACTCAAGGATAACAGCCTGAGAGCGCAGATTGAAATCATGCAGAATAAACTTGTGAAACTTAGTTCACTTTAAGAAATCCGGGCAAAGCAGAAGTAGCATTTTGTTCTGTTTGCAGGGTTTATAAAGGGAGGGGCACAAATTCCTGCTCCTATGAGTCACACTCTCACAAGACTGAGTATGGTCATCTCTCTTATTGCATATAATCATTAGGCTCCCTTTCACTTTAATAACACTTCTCATCTTATGTCTCTGTCTGCTCCACTCCTTTTTCCTCCCCTCCACCTTTAAACTCCCCGACTCATTCATTCTTTTTCTTCTTCACTGTCCTCTAACTAACACGCCTCTCTCTGGCCTGCTCCAAACTCTGCCTGGTAAATTTTTCCACCCGAACATACCACAGGAAGAGAAAAAAAAGGAAAAAACAGGGCCTTAGCAACTGGAACAGAACCACAGAGTAAACGTACTGAGTCATCGGGCATGCCCAGATAGACCGTCTGCTGCAAGAAGGCACTGATGAAAGACATGGTGGGACGCTGGAGTCTGTCTGTAAGGGAAAGGAAACAGCATTAGAGAAGAGAGAAGATAGAACGTTTAGACTGCAAGTCTGATGAGAGAAAGAAAGGAGGTGATAAAAACCACTGAACACACTGTTATCCAAAGACATTATCACTCTTTTATTGATTCTACTGTACTGGTAGAGTTCTTATCTATTTAAAACCTGTTAGCAAAAGGACAGAAAGAAAGAAATCATGTTTGTTTTTCCTTCATCCACTCCTGGAGAGAACAATCCCCTGCATATTTACTGTAGGTTTATGTTAGGTGGTTTTCCATAATGGCAAGCATGTGTAGATTGCCTGGCCACACCCACGCTCAGCTCTGATATGGATATACAGTACATTATAGGGCAGATGATAGATCCGGGCTCCTTTTAAATGTGCTTTAGTGGCAGATCTGCTGCGTAATTAAAGCAGCTCAAACAACACTTTCGTCAAATATGTAAATCCATAAAGTGTCGCCGCTTTCTTTCCAACCACACCCTCAAGAGACTGCATCAATACACTGAAGGAGAAGTGAGTGACAGACATCAAATCTCACACTAAACTTCACCAAACTCTCAAAACTAAAAGCCGTAAAGCAGATTAGAGCTTTCTATCGAAGGAAAACCACTTACCGCGTGGCCTGAGAGGGAAGAAGTTAGTCTCACTGAGGTTTCCAGGGGCGTTGTAGAGGCAGAGAGAGTATATTTATACCCATGATAAACCCCACCTAGTAACGGGTGCAGCCCATACTCCCCTCCACAGCTGCCATTGGACTGAACCGCTGCCTGCCACTGCCGAGCGCAGCGGAGCTCCACCGCGCCGTGCGTAAAAAAAGTAGGAAGAGTTTGTCCAGCAGATTTAAAACAGTCGCGCTGCTTACTTGAAAACATATGCCGATCAAGTTGAGCTCTTAATCTTTCATAAAAATGGGGATCTCGTGGAAAATCACTTATACTTAGAATACATCTGTGACTTAGGGAGAAGTTTATGATGAATTTTATTGTATTTTTTGTGCTTATGAGGGTCTAAATGCAACATTACTAATATATTCCTACAGATTAATTTATATCTATTGTAATGTTTATTTTTAAAACGTTTGTTGACATCTTTTTTATTATAAGCTTCATATTTTTTAATAGATTATTTTTCTAATTTTACATTTTCCAACAAATTTTGAACACTTACTTACAATAGTTTAAAGATCCGCTTCAGACATGTATTAAGACATATGGAAGGACCATATGCGATATCAAATAGTTCTGCTTGGAATAAAAAATTGATTATGTACCTGATAGGTATTTTCCACTATTTAAATTTACATGTGTAAATCATTAAAAAAGGCATCAACCTTTCCTGAACTAATAAGTGTTTCCCTGCAGACCACCAAGATGTCTCCTATTTTCACTGTAAATCTCAGCATTCTCCGACATATCAGATGTTTTGTGGCAGCTTCCAAACTATTTGCTAAAAGCCACATGGCTCCTAGACTACTGATGTATCCTCCAAATATCAGGACTTTTAGGGCAGTACTAATTATGTGTCAAAACTCCATGCGATTCTGCACAGTGAAGCTCAACATCCACAACAAGAAATATTGATTGTTTGAGTTGGAGTGAACTGCCCTAGGCATATCCAGCTCTGGCCACCACAACCCCCACTTCGACTGTAACGTTTTGGGGCACGCCTGGTATGAATTTCAGTTTGGGGAATACCCAGATATTTTCATGTAGCTTTTATACAATTTCACCAATCATCAATGGGCTACACAAAGAATACAAAACCTAGTCCATATAAAATATAAGCCGAAATGTTTTGCATAGAGCAAGCCATTAGTGCAAAGTTGTGTCATTAACCTTGTTTAAATTGTGAAATTATTATTGAACTCGAAGTACTTGACCTTATACTCAGTACATACGTGAGGTTATGTACTCAATCCATTATCCAAATGTTTCCAAAACAATGTTAAAACTCAGAGAAATCAACTGGACAGTCCATCCATGACAAACTGGCAGAGACAACCCAGATTTTGTGTACCCATACCTGTAATTAAATAAATATAACTCCGATAACATGGAACTTGAGTGAGCGTCTCGGTGAATCTCCATTTAAGCAGTAAGTGTGCCAGTCAGGGCTCAGGTATGTGGCATTACGATATGCTTATTGTCCAACTTCTATATGAAAGGAAACCCATCATTAATGTTCGGACATTACTGAACATAGTGACTTTGTCCAACACAGGCTTTCCCAAGCTAACAGGATCACTCCTGCAATGTAAATCTAGTATCGTATTCGAATTTATGGAAATCATCTCAATCAACACAACATTTCATGTTTTGGTATCATTCCAAAAACATTAACTTTACATTACGATACTATATAGTAATGACATTTGCTTCTCTTAATTGCATTTTGGCGGAAAGCTCAGGGCAAGTAAACCATAGGAAGCTCCTTAGGCAACACAAGTACCTGTTTTATGGTCTAGTTAGGCAAGTGAGAGCGAAATGACATCTGTTTCACATAGCTGGAATTCTGTCTACCCCTGCGTCAAGCTGTTACCTGAGGAAAATGTTTTGCCCTCCCCCCACATTCCTGATGTTACTGCTCCCCCCTCTTGGCAAAACAGTTATCAGGAGTTTACTGAGACCCCACTGTGTATCGATCTGTGGAACAGTTCACCCTACACCTATCATATTTACTGCGATACACCTGGGGTCTAAGTGATCGGCCTCAGTGTGAGAGCTGAAGATGTAAAGAGTAAAACACAAAGAGTTGTCTTTAAAGGTGTGGCATGTTTTGTCATGGGCTGCACAGTTGTTGGGCTAGCGCACTCCACGCCTTTTGATCATTTGCCAGCCCTAACCGTGCCTCAACAGAGGGCTTGCTGGCTTCATTTCACACAAGTTCAAGGCTAACAGCCGGATAATGACAGCACAAGCTCTAAAGGGATGTACTGCATATTTCTGTTCGTATAACTAAGTCGCATGTCATTAACGGTAACTGTAGTACATTCAATCTGTCAACTCTACAATCAACTGAAAATGTCACAGGCCCTTGATGACGTCATCTAAATTTGGCTGGCAGGATGGCAAAACCAGTCTCTAACAAATAAATTACATACGCAAGGATGTTGCTAAAAGCATCCTTACAGCAGCTGAGAGTTATATTTAAGTCAAGCATTAGATTAAGACTTTTACTTCAAAGGACCATGCAAACATATGGAGAGAGATGGATAGAGTGACGCAAGGGCACGCGTTAGCTGTGCACCCACGGCGAGCAGTTTTTATTTTATTGGGGTTAGGTGCTCGGTGCTCCTTGCTAGTGGACAGGAGGTGAAACGAGCAGCACTCTGGGCATCTTCTCCCCACCAGCAACCAGCATTCCACCTACCTCACTATATTGTGGTCTGTGGGAGCTGAACGTGCGAGCCTCCCAGTTTCCCCCAAGCCAAAAGTCCTACACACTGAGCCTACTGCTGACCCACTGGGCATGACACGGCACCACACTACGAGCTGGACCCACTCAATGATTACAGACATTTAAATCATACTGAGACCAGCTCAATTACCTTTCCATATTTCCGGCAAAGTGACGCACTCCGCAAATAGGGAATTATGGTCCCATTCGGGCACTGGTTTGGATTGTAAAAACGGAAGGAAGGCGGCAAAGCCTGTTGTTTCCATTAAAGTGGGCATCAATGGGTGGAGTTTATCTCTAAGTACCCAGGTGTGTTAAAGCGATGGCTCAAGCTGATGGTCCAAATGTGCAAATGAGCCTCCCTTTGTCCTAAAAAAAAGGAAAGGAAATCCTCATGGAAGAGCTTTGCCAGAACAGCTAGAGAAGAAAGAACAAACATTTTAACCAGCAGCAGCAATGACCAATGAAGAAATTGATTTTATTCACAATACTTTTTCTTACAGATGCAGTAGCAACATATATGATATAAGCAGAACATCCTAAACTTGCATGAAGATATTTCCTGATACTTATTATACTATTTCAGCCATTGCCTTGACTCTAACCAGGCAGAGGCAGGTTTGGGGTCTCCAGGAAACAAACACAGAACAGAAGAGTGAAATGAGTGTGTGTATGAACTATAACTGGTGTGTTGAGTGTTGAGAGAAGCATCTCAGTTACAATCCCGTATTGCTTACACCACAGGAAAACGCTGAGGACTGTTGGGCATTTTTTTAGCCAAGCACGGGGCTCTTGTGGGGTTTTAAGCCAGTACTCTGGTGAACTCCCCCATCTTCTGGCAGGTTTAATATTTAAAGACTGTTTTATGCAGAGTTTTGGTCTTCGCGCCTTAGAGATCAGGACCGGACGTGTGCCTCCTGGTCCAGCACAGCAGCACGAAAACGGGACTGAATTCACACAGATGGCGGATTTCTGCTTTTCTTTTGTCTCCTAGCTTTACACACAGGTTATGGCCTTTATGTCCTCATAATATAGCCCTTCTTTTATTTCACAGTTTTTCTAAACGCAGTGATTCATTCTGAGAGACCATATGGAACATTGTCTCTGGACCCCTACTATTAGGGCTTCAGTTTGATCATTATCATTGTTCATATCTTAGTTAAAAAGAACGATTTTTGACTGTGCACACTATTTGTGCCAATAATTTCCTCGCCCAAAAGATGAGATGTAGATTTGTTCCTTATGTAGGCACCGTGAAACAGGT